GGCAGGTGCGCCGTGGCCAGGTTTGCTCCCCGCGTCAGGCACAGGAGGCCCCGTCCCCGCTCCTTCCCCGGTGGTTGGTTTTGTTTGCTTTTTCCAGAATAGAAAGCGGATCCTTAAAGTGTGTGAGAAAAGCCAGCTGCTGCGCCTGAATGTGAAGGGCCAGCGGCTAAACGGGCTGGAGCGTGAACTCGGCCACGGAATGTACACAGGCCTGTCCTCTCCCTGAGGAAGGAGCTCGGGGACTGGCCGGAGGCTCTGTTCATATTGTCAATAAAAGCATCTGAGCGCCTCTGAGTCCCCTGTGAAGCTCTCTTTCCACGAACGCTGGGGTGAGGGAGGGGCCAGGACCCGCACGGAGCCTCCCCGCGGCCTGAGGGGTCTCCCTGAGGCTTTTATTGTTGCCAGTATTACTGCTGTCCCCCGGCTCCCCCTTCACCCACCCCCACCCGCTCTGAGGTCAGTCAGTCTGAGGCGACAGGCGTTTTTATGTGGAGTCCAAACCCTCGTGGTGTTTCTTTTCACACTAAGGTGGTTTCTCACATGCTCTCTGTCGGGACGGCACTGCCTCCTCCCGGGCGGCCAGGGGTCACCTGCCCATGGGGGTCCCGGAACTCTCCACACGGCCACGGACGGCGACTGCCTCCTCCACGCGTCCTGGACTCGGGCCAACTCCACGCTGTGGCGCCCACGGCGTTTCTCAGGATGCTGTTTAGCATCAGATCTCCACTCTCGGTTTTCCCCTGCAGTTTCTCCCATGTTTTTCTTTTTATTACAACATAATTATCCCATCGTTACATGCTCGTTACGGAGGGTAAAAATGGCAAAAGGAAGAAATAAAGATCGCCCCCTAGAAGTAATTACTCTGCAACCTTCTTACTTCCACTGAAAAACACGGGCTGGGCATCTTCCCGTCTCAGCGGGTTTCTCACTGACACCTTTCCAGGGCTTCCTGGCCCGCTGTACGCTGTAATACGTGTTTCGTTGCCATTTTCAGCTCCAATTTCTTTTTATTACAACACAATTATCCCATCGTCACATGCTCGTTACGGAGCGTAAAAATGGCAAAAGGAAAAAATAAAGATCGCCCCCTAGAAGTAATTACTCTGCAACCTTCTTATTTCCACTGAAAAACACGGGCTGGGCATCTTCCCGTCTCAGCGGGTTTCTCACTGACACCTTTCCAGGGCTTCCTGGCCCGCTGCACGTTGAGTTAATATGTGTTCCGTTGCCATTTCCAGCTCCAATTCAAACGTTTTTCATGTGATCACTAAGCGGCCTGGCCATGGGAACGTGTGCAGCTTGACAAACATTTAGTGTGACGGTGAGCGAGCACTTTACCGAGACTGCGCGCTGCAATCGCAACTATTTTTGTATTAATCCTTAGAAAAAAGTACTGAAGAACATGCGTGCAAATGCCGTTTGCGCTGGGGCTAGAGCTGTATGTGAACACTTGCTTGTCTCTACCTCCCGTGGTTTTGGGCAGTGTGAAAAGTCAGTCTATAATGAAAAAGATCCTTAAGTTCCCGTGACAGCTAACGGTGCTCGTGTGGAATGCAGCCAAGGAACGAAGACTTTCTAGTCGGTAATTCCCTTCTAATGACTGTCCTTCTGACCTTGAACTTGACCGAAATGACCATAGTAAAGACACCCCATTGCTTCTTCCCAAGGGATTTGCCTGGTGAATGTGGGGCGGGAAGGGGAGGGAAACGGGTTGGACCAGCTCTCGGGGGAGATGATCCTGTGTCCAGCCTCGAGGAGGCGCCGGTTCCGAGTTGCTCGCGAGCCCTGTCCGGCGGTGGTGGGGGACCGACCGCCCGCCTGCCCGGACTGAGCGGCCTCCTGGGGCCTGGGAAGACGCCTAAGAACGAGACGGTCCACACGCCCAGGTAAGCAGCCACTCTGTCTTATTCCTAGGAAAGCCAGGGTCTTCATGTTCCTGGTTTCTCCCTCGGAAAGCATCTTCCCAGGGAAACTCGATCCGCCCAGGAAGCTGTCATGAGCAGCCTCAAGGCCAAGGAGGGAGCTGAGAAAGGTGGGAGCAGGGCCCCGCCTGTGCAGAGCCGGGTGATGGCTTGCTCAGAAGCGATGGGAAACGTGCTTCTCCCTTTTGAGAAGTTGAGTAAACTAGATAAGGTCATTTTTTAAAATGTGTTTTTATTGATTTCAGAGCGGGAGGGAGAGGGAGAGAGAAACATCAATGATAAGAGAGAATCACTGATTGGCTGCCTCCTGCACGCCCCACACTGGGGATCAAGCCCGCAACCTGGGCATGTGCCTGGCTGGGAATCGTGACCTCCTGGTTCACGGGTCAACGCTCAACCCCTGAGCCACGCACCTGTGGGCTCCCCAGCAGCGGGCATGTCACGTGTGGGCTCCCAGGCAGCGAGCATGTCACGTGTGGGCTCCCAGGCAGCGGGAATGTCATGTATGGGCTTGACATGGGGCCAGTGTGACCACGTGGGGTTGGCTCTGCGAGGGGCCGGCTGTCCCAGCTGGAAGGTGGGTGGGAATTGACGGGACACAGTGCTGCGGGGAAGCCCTGGGCGAGAAGCAGCGAACACCTTCGGAGGGAAAGTGTCGCCCTGCACCGCACTCGCGAGCGCATCCTGAGTGGGTGCGTGGGGACCAACACACGTTCCCCGACAGGAGAGGCAGTGGCCCCGCCTGGCCCTTCCCACTGAGGCCGGGAATGGATGACACTCCGAGCCGGGAGGCACACGCCTCCCTGTGGGCTCCCCAGCAGCGGGCATGTCACGTGTGGGCTCCCAGGCAGCGAGCATGTCACGTGTGGGCTCCCAGGCAGCGGGAATGTCATGTATGGGCTTGACATGGGGCCAGTGTGACCACGTGGGGTTGGCTCTGCGAGGGGCCGGCTGTCCCAGCTGGAAGGTGGGTGGGAATTGACGGGACACAGTGCTGCGGGGAAGCCCTGGGCGAGAAGCAGCGAACACCTTCGGAGGGAAAGTGTCGCCCTGCACCGCACTCGCGAGCGCATCCTGAGTGGGTGCGTGGGGACGAGCACACGTTCCCCGACAGGAGAGGCAGTGGCTGCGGCTCAGGGCTTGTCCCCCCGCCTGGCCCTTCCCACTGAGGCCAGGAATGGATGACACTCCGAGCCGGGAGGCACACGCCTCGCCCCACACAGGAGACCCCTGAGCCTTCAGGCTGGGCAGGCGGGTGGTTTCCATGGGAAGAGCTAGACATGCCTTCGGGGGAAGCGCCTCTTGTGTAAGAACAGCAGCAGCGGGCCGGCTGTCCCAGCTGGAAGGTGGGTGGGAATTGACGGGACACAGTGCTGCGGGGAAGCCCTGGGCGAGAAGCAGCGAACACCTTCGGAGGGAAAGTGTCGCCCTGCACCGCACTTGCAAGCGCATCCTGAGTGGGTGCGTGGGGACCAACACACGTTCCCCGACAGGAGAGGCAGTGGCCCCGCCTGGCCCTTCCCACTGAGGCCGGGAATGGATGACACTCCGAGCCGGGAGGCACACGCCTCGCCAGACACAGGAGACCCCTGAGCCTTCAGGCTGGGCAGGCGGGTGGTTTCCATGGGAAGAGCTAGACATGCCTTCGGGGGAAGCGCCTCTTGTGTAAGAACAGCAGCAGCATCCGGTTAGAGGCGGCAACGCTGAGAGCGCCCTCATCCCGCGTCCGGGCAGGCGCCCTGGGGCGGGACCGCTGGCCTCGCGGGATCGTCCGCCTCAC